CACACACACACACACACTGTGGAGTTAGGGGGAGGATGCCATGAGGTGCTCCTTGAAAGACAGGTGGTGGTAGCAGTAACTTTCAAACTACAACACCAAGGCAATGGCAGAGTCAAGGTGTATAGAATCATCCTTCTCCAGCTCCTAATTAAATAAGGAGAAAATAGACACAACCCAATACCAATATTCAATAGACCCTAATAAGCCACAAACAAATCAATGCAATTAATTTACCTAATACTGATGCATCAGGAGGAACTGTCTCACCAGAGCCATTTCGGATTATTTCTTTCAACACTCCTCTGTCACCAGTAATATCCTGCATACGTTGACCCAACCGCTGGTAAGACTTGGAACAATGAACATAAGAATATGCTGAGCATAATCTCTCTTTTACAAAATCAAAATCCATCCTCAAAGAGCTTTACATGACTGTTAGCCCTTTATCAGATACACTTTCCATTAAAGTGATCTTAATAAAATACACAGATCTTAATACACAGGCTGTTTTGAAGACACAAAAAATACACAGAATCAAATCACTGCAGATACTGATGCAGTCTAGTGTATTTCTTACTACATGAACCCTATCTTCTTGAATCAAGTTTGACGTTTATAACCCTTTTGATTGAGAAAACAGACTGCATTCATACTGTTTCAGTTAAATTCTTATTAATCGAATCTTTAATTTGTGGTAATTCATCTTATTCATTTACTGAGCTAAACATATAAAATTTTAATTCTGTCATTGCTGTATTGTATATGTTGCATTTGGCTTAAATAGTAAATTACAATAAAACTACTTATTTAAAATTATCAAGAAGTATGACCAAAAAGTTGATTACAAGAGTTTATGTATACTTTTTTGTATAGAACACATTCACCTGAATTTATTTTCTAAAACACCCTGGTCCCTTTAGGTGAGGGAAGGAGAAACATTGGTTGGCCTTAATGTCATTCGTTTGGTTTTTGCTTAACAGACAAAGAGTCCAGTAACTGTGGTTTGTAAACTTTAGTTATGGATCACAATATGAAAACTGTAGCCAGCTCTAGCTTGTTGAACAAACTACGCTTGTGTTCTACACAGTTTAAGAGACCAACTTTACGCCCATAGATAAGTGGTGGGAGGTAACACAGCAGACAAAATAATTTAGAGCAGACAAAGAAGGGCCAGCAAAGCATCAAAAGGTCTGTCTTCAATCCTAGGATTGCCCAAAAATGATCTGGCTTGAACTAAATCTACCAGATTTGGGCTGCAAAAAAATAACTCTTCGAGGCCACCTAGTGATTGTCCGGATTTTTTTTGCATATAAGTATGGAAGCCTGACATGAAGCGGCACCGAGAGCTATTAGGTTCTATTTTCAAAACTACTTTAGCCCCCACCCCCGATAAGGCAGAACCGATCGGCATAAGCCTTCGGGTGCCATTCCACCCTTCCTTCGCGACTTCATCGGAACGGGTGAGCTGGGAGGGTGGCGCGAGCAGTGCAGGAACGGGCCGGAGGACATCAAGAAACCTTTTCTTTCGGCTCACCCCGACATCTCCTGCCCCGCTGCCTTCTCCTGCTCGCAGACTGATCCCGTTAGACCGCCGTGAGTCCAGATAGCACCAGACCCCCTCGCCGCCTCGCTTCATCTTCGTGGCTTTCCGCAGCAGCAGTTGGAGCAATGGTCTCCGTGGCGTCCGCACCCTTCCCGCCCAAACCGCCCGAACCAATCGGACCACGTCCCTCCGAATCCTTGCAGCCCTCGACCAATCGGATGCAGGGAACAGCGGTTGGTCTCACGACACCAGCCAGGCCCAGTCTTACAAGCCCCAGCTGCGTAGCTCTGTGCCTTAGTGGAGGGAGGTTGTAGTCTATCCCACATGCTGGGACTTAACAGTTCTTACTATCAGACCCGGTACCTTCTTGTGCAAACATCCTATGTATCTCATATTCCAATCAGATTGACATCTGGAGGGCTTACTGTGGTAAAACTACAACATGAAACTATATGTGACTAGCAAGGAGTTGAGAGCTTTATACACTGTTATAAACTCCAGGGAAGAGCTGGATAAAAATATAATAGACTATGATTGTCATAATTCTCAGTAATCTTTTGGAATTGGATATGTAGATCAATGATTGTGCATGCAAGACACTCTTAACTAGGTCAGTTAAAGACCTAGTGCCCAACTTGGGAAGCTTTGTTAACCTGAATTGTTTGTGGCGTAGCATGTTTAGTTTATGGCACAACCATATTAAGTGAGTTGTGAATGCAGCCAGTATCATCTCTATCTTCTGACATTTTATATGTTTGCAGTTTACTTCCACATTAACATGCCACATATATTCTACCTTCCTTGTCTCTGCTTTCCTATGCTTTTGAAAATAACCATGAAGAGTTTTTAAAACTCAGGTTGTGTTTTTTATTCTAAGCTTCAGTGAGGCTAATAAATACATTGCTTCAAATGGATTTTGAGCTTTCTTCCCCCTTCACAATCAGCATGGCTGCTTTCTCTTTTTCTGCTTACTGCTATTATTTCTAGCACAAAATAAAAGTGGGCCAGGAGCACTGAAGAACTATTTTGTATTGGAAACACCAGTTTGAGAGTATGGACAGAACTGGTTGATCTTTTGTAACTCTGTTACGGATTGTATAATCTAAAAACTGATATGTCAGAAAGCATGAATTAGTGTCCTCTAGATTATTGTGGAGAGCCAGTTTGGTGCAGTGGGTAAGGCACCAGGCTAGAGACTGTGAGTTCTAGTTCCGCCTTAGGCATGAAGCCAACTGGGTGTCTTTGGGCCAGTCACTCCCTCTCAGCCCTAGGAACGAGGCAATGGCAAACCACTTCTGAAAAATCTTGCCAAGAAAACTGCAGGGGCTAGTCCAGGCAGTCGCCAGGAGTCAAAAATTGACTCAAAGGCACCAAACAAACAAACAAATAAATATGCATGCTGTGGGTATGTCTGAAAATAGGAATTATTTGGTGATAGTTCCATGTCATGCTGTATAAAATGTAATGGAACAACCAGGGATGAATTTTGGGAAAAATTGTGTAAGTTTCTGAATGAACGCGCGTGTGTGTAAAATTAGTTGGTATAAATTTCTTTTGCTTACTATTTCTTATATTTGTTCTGTACTTTGCATAAAGTTTCTTACCTTGAAAGGGAATAGCATGATGGGCGTGTATGTGTGCTCATAACACAGAAAAGCTGGTGGAAGACCTTAAAATTACTTGTAATTTTATAGCTTCTAACACTGAACTGCAAAACATTTTAAAAAGTATACTTCTATAGTAAAAAGATTGTAAAATCACTTTATTCAGTATAAAAGATTAAAAAGTGGTATTGACTTTTAAACCACTAAAAGATAGCAAAGAGAAGAGGCAAGACATAAGCAGGTGCTACAACTGAAAAAAATCCTCAAAGTAAGCAGAGTAAACAAATTTAATGCATTGATTAATATGTACAGATAGAAATTAATGAATACCTCAACCTTTTAGGCTATGCTTGCATTGTGGTGGTGGTAAGTTATTTGTGTGGGCTTGCAGTTGTGTACAGTCTTGATGAAATATTTACTTACTGCATTTATTATGGTCTTGCTTGAAACTGGAACATTAATAATTTGGGCATTTTAATTTAAATAACATTAAATAGAACTAGTATAGAAAATCCAAGGTATTTGGCCATCTCAGATTTGTAAAGCTTACTAAAATGAGTAACAATGGAGGAAAATATGGGACAATTCCCTGTTTGCTGTTCTTGGAAAATGAGTAGAGGACCAGAAGAAAATGATAGACCAAACTAGTTTTCCTATTTACAATCTGAATTATTTTCTTTTGTGCCAGATCTTTTTCTCAAATTCCAAATCAACAGCCATACTACCTTATTGCACCCAGAAATAACCAAAATAGTGGCACCTTAACCTTTCCAAAACAATTAATCATATCAACAGATGACATTCCTGCAGTTACAGTTTGTTTATTTTTCATGTTTTTAAGACACCTCAACTCTATTTAGATGCTAATCTAAGCAGATCTGAGAAAAGAGGATTTTCCTCCTGGGTATAAAGTTAGACACTACTGAGAACACCTGAGAAAAAGCCTTTAACTAACTGATTGGAGTTTGCACTTGTGTATCAAATTCAAAGTGCATTGCTAGTGGACCAAAGGGATTTCACATATTCACACCTGAAAAGCATTTTCAAAGATGAAGACTGGAGAGTTAAAATGCTTTAACTTAGCCTGTGGCACTGGCAAAACAACAACAACAAAAGATTGTGGCAATACACAACAAAACTCTGCAGTGCAATTTTTCAACTTCCTGAGGAAGGAGACTGAAAAGCAGAAAGAGGGAAGGAAGCGGCCTTTGAAATTTAAGCATCAATCGCCTGGCAGGATTCCCAGAAGCAGCCTAGAGGCAAAGTGAGATGTTAGTCCCAAGTGACAGATTCTGAGCACCGTTGGCTGAAATGCCAGTTGAACTCCTCCATAGGGTACAAACAATGCAGTTTCTCCTGCAAAAAGTTCTCCTGCAAAAGCCCACTGAAAACAATGGAAACATAGTAGTGTTCGTTTCAGCTGAGCTACCGTAATTTTGTGCTAAACTACCCTGTTCAGGAGTGGGAAGTATAGATGTCATTGAGATTCTCCACTTTTGGCATGGAGCTGGTTCAGTTGCTTTATATGTAGTCTTGATTTGGCCCCTTAAAACCAAAACGCCCTTACATATTCAAGTGGGCCAAAAGCAAAACAGAGTCCTTAAGCGGGACTCTAGAATTCTTTAAATTGAATGAGTTGTATTCAGGGGAACAGTTTGGTTTGTATTTATTGCTCCCATAAAGGCAGTCTGCAGCTCACTCAGTAACTTGTCGTGATAGTAGCAAACGGAAACTTCATATTATAACTTGGTGGGCTCTTGAGTATTGGTGCAATCATCCTCAGCCTGCAGCATTGTGGGAGTTGGCAGTAGAATGGGTAAGTTGTTGTGGATACCCCGCTCCTGCCAGCACATGTCCAGAATGGGATATAGCTTGCCTTGGAATTCTGCTTGGAAAGTATAGATTGGTATCAGCTCATCTGGGCTGTCAGCGTTGTAGAAGGTTAGTTCTCCCTTCTCATAGTGCAAATAGACCCCAATACGCTGGGGTCGGGCTGAAATTGGCAACACTAGTCGAGTGCTGTTGAAGGCCTCATATATTTTGCCTTCCTTTAAGCCAATGAGCCACACCCCATGTTCTGGGCTCTTATTCAGTTTCCCTTTGCGACTGACTGTGCCCTTGATGATGCCCAGGCGCCAGTGACTCTTGGAGCCCACAATAATCTCCCAGTAGTGCTTTCCCCAGGAGAAGCCCTTATTAGCCAGTATACAATTGCTGTAGTCAAAGCGGTCAGGATTGCTGTCTCGCCGTTGGAAGAGCAGTCCGCATTTCACCATGGTATTCGCCTTGGACAGCTCAAGCATAGGGTGAGCACTCACAGGGTCCAGCTTCAGCGTTTCTGGAGCTACAAGAAGGGGTGCAAATCAAAGTTCCTTGAGGAGCCCTGGGTGGGTTTCAGAAAATCAGTTGAAGTGATCAAGCCACCTTCTTCATATGAATGGGACTCAATTTTTCATGATAGCCAAAAGGTGATTGCAAAGATCAGGAAATACAGAAAGTACTTTCAAAACCCATCACCATTTGGTAGCTCTGCAATCTCATCCCCCATCCCACTTAGCACTAATATCTGAAAAACAGTAATGCATGACATAGACACATATTCACAAATGTTTGAGTGCTGTATGTGGAAGTGCTCATGCAACAGCCTCTCCTCTTCCTCTCCTCCAGCAGCAGCCATACCTGGGAGGACTTTACGGAGCAGATGTTTCCACACCATCATCTTTATGTCATCTTGGTGGAAATCAGGCTTAAAGGAAACTGCACTGTATATGCCTTCAGCTGGGTGCTGATAGGGGATTTCAGACCTGGGTATGTAATAATTTCCATTAATATTCTCGCCGAATGCAAATGTTTCATCACCCAACTTTTAAAATATTCAATTCCTATCTTGTCCTATTAATTGATAGGGCTGAAAATTCTGAGCAAGGATTCAGAACATAAAAGGCAGTTATTTTATCCCTCTGCAGGAAGGTATCTATGTATACCTTGGTTCAGTGGCAGAGTGTATAATTTTGAAGACAGAACACATCTCAAGAATTTCAGCTAGAAGATTTGGGAAACATCTCTCCATTCTTGAAACCTAAAGATTATTTTACAAAATCACTCTTTATCTGAAAGCCACATGCTCTGGAATTAAGTTGCTCTGGGCTGGAAATTAATAATCTTAAGGCTTCTTATGATTCCATAGTCATCAACTTCTCAGGAGCTTGCAATCCAATGCACATCTGTGATTAAATTTTGCTGAACCTGACAGAACTTACTTTTGAGTAAATATGCTTCAGCACATTGGAATTGCTGAGACATGTCTAAGTATTCTATGCTGAGAACATGGAATATTCTATACCTACTTTGCTTTGAAAAAAGCATGGATTCTGTTAATATTTTTATTAATAAGAATTTTGGCAAAACTAAAAAAGAAATGTATCTGATTAACTCTTCCTTGCACTTTTTCTGTAAAGGCATGTTCTGAAGTGCTTTGAAGATCCATAGGAAAGAGACTAGAATTACAGCGCTTGATTTCTCTTTCATATACTCTTTCTTATTTCACATACCTGGAGGGAAGAGATCCATATTTCTGTAAAGAGATGTAGAAAGATTTAGTGCACTTATACTATTTAAATGTATACTCAAGGCTATGTAGAGGGGAGAGAGATGGGAGAAAATGATTGGGACTATTGAGTTCTCTGAGCAATTGGAATCCATATAAACTCCTGTAAACCTTGGAATTCGTGCATACCTATACATTCCTTAACTGCAACAGAGCTACAGGTCCTTATGTGCATGTACTCTTCAAGATCTAGGCTCTAAAGGAATATCTAAAGCTTTCATGACTATCTGGAATTATGCCTACTCTTAGATCAAGGGGGATTCCAGGGCTGGAGGCAACTCCAGGGTGGAAGCACTTTCTTTTTTCTATCAGCCATAACTGATTGCTCTAACCATAGTTGCCCAAAACGGACAGTATATTTCTCTGCCATTTTAAAGCAGGAAACTTATGAAAATTTAAAATAGGCTTCATACAAAGTATGAACAGTAAATACCCCAAATTTCTCCACCAAGTATGAGGAAAATGGGAAATCCTAGCTCTAATCTGTGTGACCTCTATGATGCTAGCCTGCCTACTCTGCATCATTGCTTTGCTACTAGGGCTCTTGGCCCTTCATAGTGTGAAGAATAGTCCAATCATCCAAAGATTTCCCACCCTGCACTGGATCCTAATGGGCAACTAGATTTCTCCATATGTCTTAGCCTTTAAACATCAGTGAACTGCAAGATAAGTTTGGACTTTTAATGGGCACAAACTGCTAAATCCCTCTAAGTTCCTCAGATTCCAGTATGCCTCTTTCAGTCTGCTTCTTACTTCTGAGTAGGGGTCCTCAGCAGTTTTATTTTCTGCTGCAGGTAGCACTTCTTAGGATGTCCCTTGTTATGTATGGCAAGCAGGTGGGTGGACATACCCTTATGAAATCCAGCTGGTCTTCATTGTTGAATTTCTCCAGGAAGTCCTCTAGCTCCTTTAGCTTCTGAAGGGTGTCTGCTCTCTGCCTCACCTGAACCTCAATAGAGGCAATGATACGGGTTGTTTCCCTCTCAATCCGCCCCAGGAATCTGGCCTTCTCTTCATCAATGTACCTATGCAGCTCCTGAAACTGCTTTCTGACTACCCACTTGAAGACATCAGATTCATTCTGTGTAGGACAAAATATCACAATTATCACCAGAACAATGCAAGGCTTAGTTCAAGCTGGGCCCATGTGGGGTTGGAGTGTGCATTATTATAACATTTAAATGTGAGAAATCTGATGGCCATCTCGGTGTAAACACTGGTGTTGCCAGCCATTTCTCCTTGCACTCCTGTCTACAGTCTTAGCTCACTAGTCAATTGCTTTGCAGCTATCATTTATGATAACTCTAATTGGCAGAAATATCACAAAATCTTTGTCAGTGGTCCATGTCTGACCAGCATGAGATAATTTTCTGAATGTCTAAGTGACCCTGAGAATTTGCTTGAATAGATTACACACTAAAGGATTATTTGATATAGTATTATTTCTCTTTTGTACATACCTGTTGCTATCCAATATTCCTCCCCGCCCCCAACAATTGTTAATTGGATTATGGGACTAGATTGGATTCCTTACAGGGTCAATTTGTGCTTCTTTTTCCATGCAGCCTAAACTGCTTGGTTTATGCTACACAGTTTGTATTAGAAAGGGAGACAAGGATCAATGAGCTAATTCTTTGGCCAGAAAAGACTGGATGGGAATAGAGCTTGGTGTTTTCCTATTTCTGAATACAGGCAGAAATACCGGGTTAAGAATGTCTGACTTACGGACAACTCGTACTTACGAACGGACTGCCATATAGCCTACTATATTAAAAAATTGAGTTAAATACAATGGTTCATAGTAACAAACACACTCACTACTTTGTGACGCTCATGAAAACATTGTGCAGCTTCAGCAGTTAGTCAGCTCAAGGAAGGAGAATGCCGTCCGCCATTTTAAGTCAGATCACGTTGCCATTAACACTGTGTTGAGTGTGTAACTTTGTATTTGGCTTACACTTTTTCTCTAATTTACCCTTGTAATCATGCCTCTGAAGCATAGAATAAGAACCATATGTACTTGTTCCAACTTACCTACAAATTCGACTTAAAGACATACTTAGGAACAGATCTCGTTCATAACCTGGGGACTGCCTGTACTCTATTACTTAGTTCAAATATTGCCCTAAACCATAATGTGGTTGGTTAGTTTTTGACCTAGCATGTTTTGGGAACTCAACTATTGTGGTTTGTAAAACATGATTTATGGATCATGCAAACAGTGATTTATTAAACAAACCATGATTAAACTAACTACAGCTTGGCATAATTTATCTTCAATCTATGAGTCTGGAGGAAATTTACTTGCCTCCCAAACTGAATTAATGATGAGTGGTAGAAAAGAATGAGAGAGGTAGAGTGCATGTATTGAGAGAGTTCTCATGCAGTCAGCAAAAAGCAACATGATAGCACATCTGATTATAGCAAAAAAGAGACAGATGGAAACCAGCATTAGGTAGGCTATTTCACAGGGGTAGGAACAAGAAACATGCAAAAAGATTTGCATATTGTTTCTAAATATAGAGCTCGCTTTGAACCACAAGACATTGCTAGAATCCTTTGATTCCTTACTTCAATACAGATTACAATACAGATTGGCTTCCTTACTTCAATATAGATTACTTATCAGAAGTTCTTGGATTTTTTGAGGGCACTTAATAATTTCCAGCCCTTGCCTGTTGGGTGAAGCCTGACATGTAGCAACTGAGCTATTCTACAGGGTTGTTGCTGGGATCCTCTCCACTATGTGATATAATTCAGACGGCTATCTCCAGGGAGTTTTTGTGACAAGTAAAGGGACCACCTGATTGGGCACCCTATGTCTATAGGGGCTGGTGGCGCACTTATTTAGAATTTTTTAGCTGCTGTGACCTAGTGTCCTTAATAGCAAGATTAGGAATTGAAAAACACCTAACTGGTGGCAGTAATCCAACAAAATCAATATTGACAGTGAATGTCAGGTGCTTTAAAAAGGACTCCAAGGGTAGCTTTATTCTGAGCTAATTTCCTAGGAGATGTTTCTTGTTAAATCCATGATTTCTAGAATTCTGTTACTAAAAATGCTGGTCATCATTCTAAACCAGATTATTCCTTTTTTCACCTGAAAGCTTTGGCCTTTCCTATTAATTAGTTTGAAACCATATAGAATTTTAAGCAAATCCCCTTGACTTGGACTTCCTCAGAAAAACTAAGAATTATATTCAGTTCTTCCATGTGATTCAATATTCAGTCCTGAGATTTGGCTGAGTATAGGAACTGAAGAAAAAAGGCAACATGCATTGAATCATATTGAACATTATTCCACAAAGATTTAGGGATTTTTTCCTCTGCAAATGTTAGGAATAGGAGGATAATTTTCAGAGTTTGGTAAAGTGCTGGATGTGCGTGCAGTGTCATTTCAGCTTGATTTGTTTGGGGATTCAAGTTTTGGGTGTTTTGTCTCAAAAATCTAAAGTGAGCAGTTATGCAACGGTTTTTGTTTTTGTTTTGGTGCCTTTGAGTAAGTCTTGATTCCTGATGACTTCCTGGACAAGTCCCTATAGTTTTCTTGGCAAGATTTCAGAAGTGGTTTCCATTGCCTGCTCCCTAGGGCTGAGAGAGTTTGACTGGCCCAAGGTCATCCAGCTGGCCTTGTACCTAAGGATGGGGCGAGGGGGACTAGAACTCATGATCTCCTGGTTTCTAGCCTGATGCCTTACCCACTACACCATAGTGGCTTCCATCTAAACATGCAACAGAAAAATGTCAGGACATCTCCCATTTGAAACTGCAGTGAGATTCACCCCTCTTAACTGGGATAAATATGCCAAGTGCCAAAGACACCTACTCATCCCCAAACACTCAGGAATATACAGCAGATAATCACTAGAAAACTGAAATTAATTGTAAAACATGTCTAATGATCCATACCTTCCCTTCATTCTGCTTATTTATCGTAGTAATAGTATTACACCCACAGTGATGCATATATGTTGAAAGAAAAGGAAGAGGCAAACAAGAAAGTCACTGGGCATAATGTGATCTGCCTGTCTAAGCTCACCGCAATGCGAGTTTTGTTATTCATCAGCTTGCTGACATATTCATCAAGGCTTCTCTTCTGCTGTTGCACATCTGTCATCAACATGGAGAGCTCCTCCTGAGAAAGCAGAACTGCTTTAGCTAAACATGTAGGGAAGGGATGTAAGAGAAACAAAACCACTTATCCACTTCAAGATGTATTTTTCAATGATGACCACTAAATGCTTCTTAAAGCTCACAAGGAAGGCCAAAAGAAATGTGACTGCTCAATTATTGTAGCTATTAGGAGACATTCAGATATGAAGAAGAGAAATTCCAGAGGTCACATAAAGCCACCTTCCACTAAGATTTTAAATCATCTATACTAATATCTCTGACTATCATCAAATCCCCAGAGACTCAGTCAGATAAGGGTCATCAGCTGTTCCCCAAGATCCTTCAAACTGGATATGCAGGAATTGGGGTATATTTAATATGCAAATATTATCTTTCTACCATGAAGCTATAGTGGCTTATCATAGAACATGAGCTCTCCAAGGGAGTGTTTAATTTGACTCAAGGGCGCTTTATTTTTTTCTGATGCATAACTTACAGTTAAAAGAAGGGAAGTAGATTAAAGATGACTGTAGTGCAAACTTTGGAACATCTGGAGATTTTGACCATTTTTGAGCAGAGTTTAATTTGTGCCTCAGTTCTGACCTTGAACCTATTATGAATGGTAGAACCTAGGCTTGGAACAACCAAAGAAATAATTTTATTTATTTCATTTGTATCCTGCTTTTCTGCTCAGACAAGCAATTTTTCAAAAATTAATTAAAATATAAAATTAAGTGTAAAATCAATTAATGATTAAAAGTCTGGTGAAAGAAATGCATCTTTATGGATACTTTAAATACTGAGAGTATGAGAGCCAAATGCTACTGCTGAGGAAATGTGTTCTACAGCCTGGGACCAACACCGGAGGAGACCTTTTCCCTCATGCCAGAAAGATGGGCTTCTGGCACCAGGAGCACCTTCAGAAGGGCCTTTCCTGCAAATTTTAACAGTTGGACATAGGAAAAAGTGGTCTCTCAGATAGTCAGTCTATAAGCCATTTTGAAGTTTAAACCTGGGTTAACACAAAACAAGCTACGCTCCAACAAAAATAGTCATATTGTGGCTTAATGGGATGGCCTGATTTATACAACATTTGAGACAGTGTCTGAGTTCTTAAAACATGCTGAATTATAAACTACCCAATCTGATTTTAGCCTACTACAAACTCATGTCTTTCCTCATAGCCTCCCCAGTATCTAGATCTGGGAGGGAAGGCGAGACAGGCTGAGTCAAGATCAGAACCTGCAACTGTCACATTATTAAAACAGGTACTTCTGTAGAGAGATCATCTTTGGCTATGCTACCATTCAAATATTCCCTTTTCTGGGCAGGAATGTGTACCTCAAGGTTTATCTCTTATCTCAGTCAGTATCAGGCACTCACAGGCACTGGGAGTGCTGCACATAGTTTTTCTAATTCTGTGAATCGCCCTCATTGTAACAGTGTTATTCATTGTTTTCTATTGCTGCCCTTGATCACAGGGTACTGCCACCCAGGATCCTTATGCTTACATAATTCCCACCCTCTGAAAACATTACCCACACAGAGAGGCACTCTGGATATACAATGTGGAGAGGGAGGTACAATATGACTTCTGTCTCCCAATAGCTACACTATTTTTACTAGAATTCACGTGCTCCATTAATGTTACAAAGAGATTTTCCTTAAGAATGTAAAAAATTCCTTGCTTGGATCACACCAAGAACAACCTAATTCACCTAATCTACCAATCAACAAATACAGGGTGGCCCACCCAAAATTGTCAGTCATCTCTGTTCTGCCTATGGTCTAAGCCCTCACTTCATCCATGCAGACACACACACACACACACACACACACACATATACACTCCAACCACCTGCCTTCATCCTGCTGTAGACAGTGGAGATGGGTGTGACCTTATGCTGCTGGTGGGTGCCAATGGTGCCGCAGAGGCCACAAATCACTTCCTGGTCTTGCTCACAGAAAAGGCTGAGGGGATTGTGGTGGTCAGGGCAAGAATTTTGATTATCATCTGAGTTGCCTATGTTATGAATTGCCTCAATGATGCGAGCCAAGTTGACATTGGGTGGCGATCTACTGTAATCCACAGCCTTTCGGCATACTGGGCAAAGGAACTGTTTCTCCAGATCACCTGAAAGAGATACTACACAGGATTTGCAGTAAGAATGTCCACATTGTAGCATCAAGGGTTCTTTGAAGAGCTCTAAGCAAATGGGGCACATCAACTGGTCCTCAAGCTGATCAATGCTCAACTTCCGAGCCATTTGTCTGATTTACTTCTTTCCTTGGTTTAATCCTGGAAGGTCAATGCCCGAAAGGAGTAGACGCCAAATGTGGGATGTAGCTGGGGAGAAGATGAGAATAGCTCTTCCTCCTGATCTCCTGCAATAGGCAATTAGAGAAGGATAAAGAGACTGATACAATTTTAGGGCTCAGGAGGAAAAAAGTACCCCAGAAGATGCACTGAGGAAGATAACAAAACTAAGATTGAGGGACTTTGAGAATTTCTGGATATCAAAGGTGTTTTGGGAGGAAGAAAGCTGAAAGCGCAACGTTCAGGTAACTGCTATTCCACAACTATCAAAAGGAACAAAATAACTTCTGCCCTCCTTACTACTTTGTCCTGGAAACATTAAAAAATTTTTTTGGTGGGTCATCAGCTACAGCTAGCTGCTAAAGAGTAATGCCTAAGTGCTCTGTCCTTTTACTTTGGGGAATTATGCTTTAGAGCTGAGAAAATAATGACATAAGTTTTACTTAGCTTGTTGCCAAATCTATAATTTATTTAGGACATTTAAATGCCAGCCCATAATATAAGTTATCTGGGAATATAAATGTCAAAAAAGAATATTGGGGAGAAATGGGGTACTTTTGCATGACAGATAAAGTACTGGAAAGAGTAAGAGGTAATTAAATGTTTTAAAATTTGTACTTTGTTGATGACCAGATTTAGTTCTGGGAATCAAAAATGTTTCCTTTGCCCCAAACCACATATATGTTTGGAAGCTGTATTACAAGTGCTCTCTGTAGATTTTTTTTTTTTCATATAAATGTTTCTATTTATGAAACCTTGGTTCACAAGGAGCACTGGCACTGAAACCAGTTCTTAGAACAGACTAAATTGGAAATAAATGTGACAAACTTCAAAATAATGATAAGAAAACATTATTATCAAGAAGGAAAAGGATAGCCATTCAATATTTTATTGTAACATGAGGACTGGAAGTTGAAGAAGGTATCTTCAGAGGAGCTCTGTATCTGAGATGGCAAAAAGAGCTCACATATACCAGATCTGCTCATAATCTTTCTTTCAAGGTATTCCACCCTTTCCATTTATATGAACTCTTGAATGCTCAAAGCATGTCATCTTCTGCATATGCTCTGTTATATGCACCACAACTCTTAAGGCAGGCAGGTCTCACTGCCTCTTTACATTGTACAAACTGATGACCAATATCCAAGGATATCTAACTATTGGTAAAAGTTCAGGTCAGTGGTCTAAATTTATTACCAGTAGGAAGTTTTTGCTGAACTTTCAATGGAATCCTTCTAGGAGCAACACCCATCTTCACCCACAAACCACATCTTTCCTAGTTTCCATATTTTCTAAGTCTGTCACAGTAAGAAGCCAAAGAAAATATCCCTACCTTTTACAGCTCAGCTGCTGTTTTTCTTTTAGTTCTCTGCCGCCTTCCTTCTCTTGTAATCAGAGTATTTCTAGACAAAACTCTGTAGATTATATTAGGACATCTTGTAGGACAATTCTTTGACTATGGCAGATTTCAGACTTCTCCACCAAAAGTGACAAGAAAAGCCTCTCTGCATTTAATTCTTTCAAAAGGAGAGCTTCTGGGGTTGATGGTCCTCTGTTTAAGGGAAGATCTCCAGAAATCAGCTAGCAAACGGGAGTGACAGCCACCTTTTCAGTCATGTGCTAATCCTTGGCACTTGCGAGAAGCAACTCCCAGCTGCATAGCTGACTGACCAATGTGTTACTGGAAAATTGGAGACAAACAAACCCACAGAGTCTTTTCCTTGAATGTTCACCTTGTAAAAACAGATTTTCTTGTCCTCTTTGCCGTAATATATGCAGATACACACTCATACACCCTCTCCTAGTCCTCATCATACTACTGAAAGTTGACACTGCATCATATTAATTGGTCTTTAACATGCAAAGGATTCCAGTCATTCACAAACTGTAATGAAGGTACAATTATACACTGAAAAGCCACACCAATGAAGGGCTTTAATGGGCTTTCTTTAGATTTACGTTTACAGTATGTACATTCATTGAGATCCCCTTCCCTGCAAAACGCTGATATTATCAGTCCTGTATATGCAGGACCTGCCTTTTGGCTTTATAGCAAATGTTTTTCTATCCTTAAATAGGACTTGAATCACGCAGGAGCTCCTGATGCTGTATACCAGCCTTCCCTGACTTGGTGTATTAGCCAGAGCTTGTCATCGATGAACATTTGGGGAGGTGGCCTGCATATCTGGTTGGAGATGGCTGCTGCTTGCATAGCTTCTGTCCAGGGGGCTATTCCACCTTACACTGAATGTTGTCTTCTTCCTCTCCTCCGTATGCTTTCAGCAGTCCTAAATCTGACTTCGAGGCAAGCCAAGGGAGGGGAGCCCTTGCTATTAGATTGGCAGTAGTGGAGGCATTGATGGCTATACCACAGAAACTGATGGGCGGGGCACAGTGCTGCCAACTTGCATGTTGAGATTCAGGAACAAGTGCAAGAGGAACTTTGATTCCAAGTGTCTGCTTATGTCATTGGCAAAGCTCCTTTGGTAATTGCTGGCATACTTTTCAGTCCAAATACCTCTGAAAGCAGAAGCATTCACAGGATGGGTCAAGAAAGTCAAGATGGTAGTCTGACATCGAATTTAATGTAACTCTTATTAATTGTTAATTTTGCTCAATGATTCTTATTTTGCTGTCTGCCTTTGTTAATGATTGAATATCTGATTTTAATAATTGTTTTAAAGTGCTAAATTGATATCAGTTCATTATGCTGGTCTATGACAATAATAAACATTTGATTAAATTGATATAAAATCATCTTTATATTCAGTACTCATCTAATATTATTTTGAATTTTTTAATTCAGTTTTATACTGTATGTAAATTTATTTTCCATTTTTTGGTTGCTCTTTTATTTCTATTTCTGCTCCTATTTTGATTGTGCTTTCAAATATCTATTAAAATGAAATGAAATACAGTACATAAAAAGTCAAGTTGGTAATTACCATCACACAATGGAAGCCCCACCCCTATTTTATTTGCATCATACAGAACCAACATCAAAAAAGAGCAGGGCTTCAGTCATGACCATCACCTTGACTTTTTTGACCCCTCCCTCCACAGATGCCTCTTCAGGTTGATTTGGGGCATATCTGCAGTTTTACTTATTATTATGGCTGTTGTTACCTGGTTGTGTTGTGCTGGTCCTGTCCAGATGTGTTTTATTTATATACCACTAAATCAAAATTGACTCTTGATTTGCTGGCATTAAATGTCTGTCAGAATGATTTGGCTATGTTGCAGCCTTAATAATTTTCTGCATTTTTAATTTTATGTTGAATGTACAAGGAAAAAGAAGTGATCAAAGTAGTGACATAATAGGACCAATCTTATAACTAACTGGAACAAGGAATCCTCAGGTTTCACTTCAAATTCCACAAAGCTCATGAATCTGTGAGGCCTTTTTCAGGCAAAGAGACGCCACCAGCAGCAGCGGCTCATGCTGCCTGATGTTTAAAATGTCTTCCTTGGCCCATTTTTGTTATGCTCTGTTTTGCTTTTTTTTTTTTTAAAGCAAATACCAGGTTTGGGGAACAGAAGAGCTATGTTGATACAGCATGCTTACCTTGGTTACTGAATCAGCCCATTTACTGGTTTGAACTGTAAATACATTAAATGAATACATTAAACCACAAAAAACTAACCAAAGTGGTCACTAACTAAGCTCAGTATGCTGTGAAAATGGAGGCACTAGGTATTTAACTAACCTGGTTGAGTGTGTTGTATGAACAGCCACTGCATATCAAAAAGTCAGAAGGTAAAGAGAGCTGTTTTGTCTGGTGGTTAAGGTGCTGGCCTAGAATCCAGGAGACTGAGTTCTAGTTCCACCTTAGGCACGAAAGCCGACTGGGTGACTGGGCCACTCGCGTTCTCTCAGCCCAACCCACCTCACAGGGTTGTTGTTGTGGGGAAAAGAGGAGGAGGAAGGAGTACTAGATATGTCCACCCCTTTGAGTTATTTATAAAAAAAATAATAATGGTGGGATAAAAATCTAATCTCCCACTAAGCAGTGCAGTCATGTTTCACCTCTACTGCTGTTGAAGGTTGACATAATTTATATTTAAGCACAGAACACGACCTCTTTCGTCTCATAACTTTGTATGTGAGGCAGAGTGACTGGTCAGTCTCCCAGTAAGTTTCCTTGGCTGAGGGTGGATTTGGACCTGGTCTCCCTGCTTGTACTCTGACACCCACTCCTGCACCTGAACTGCTCCATCATCCTGGCTCTGAGGTAAACCAGAGTAGCAATGCTGTCTGTAGCTGATGTTCTCCCATCGTAAGTTGTGAATTCAGCCAAGGTATCAGCCCAACGCCATGGTGTTTATGGCTGCATTCCCATTGAGGGAGACCAGAGCTGGCATGATAAAGGACAAAAAAGGCAGGGACCTAACAGTGTCAGGCAGAGTAGAGGTGTGAGTACATTCCACACCAAAAATACACACCAGCGTTAGAGAGATTTAAAGAATGCAATGTTG